ACCTCAGGAAAGCAGCAGCTTCTCAAAGTTGTTTGTAATACCCAGACGTTTGTCTGGAAAATACTGTCTAACTTTATCTCCTGAAAAATGTAATTTAGAATTTGAGTTTAACATACTAGCATTTAATATGTCAGCTGACCAGTATGCTCAAATTTTAACCTTTTCTACTTTCTGTTGGAAGTCTCCGGATAAATTTGAAGACTGTTACTAAGTCTCTCTCTCTCTCTCTTTCTCAGCCTTCTCTCCTTTCAGCTAAGTGGTGCCACGTCTTTCAATTCTTCCTTGAACGTCATGTTTTCCAGCCGTCTGATCATTCTTTTTCACTTTGGACTTTTCCCAGGTTGTCTCTACCATTCCTGTGGTGTCTCACCAAGCTAGGATTGAGTAACCCCGTTGAGCACATATCAATGCTGAATTAAGTGGAAGGGATATTTTGGGTACCTTGCAGGCCATGCTCCTGCTAATACAGTCACCCTTGTATATGCCTTCTTGGCAACAGCCTGATATTGTTGACTTGTGGTGACCAACTGTACTCTCTATTCCCTTTTTCTAAATACTTGCCATGTAGTCAGGTGTTGCCTGTAAGCACCTGCTTACTTCTGCCTAACTGTATTTTCTTGGTCTTGAACCTTTTAAATTTCATCCTGTGCTCGCAATCCATTTCTCCAATTTATCAAGATTGATTTGAATTCTATGCCTGTCCTCCTGTGTGCACCTGGCCTCACCAAGCTCCGTGCAAATTTGCTGAAGGGCACAGGTCTGAGCAATTATTGGGTACGATGCAGGTAGGTGAAATTGTAGGTGGACTTCTCAGCATCATTACTGGTTGAGCTAGCTAGAGCTTCTGGTGCCTACGTGCTAGAAGCGCATCTTCAGTGAATGTGCAGACACAGCTCTGATCTAAGTAGGGAGATTATGCCGTGGTTGCGTCGTGTGGGGTAACAGCAAATGCAATGCACTGGCTGGTTCAAATGGGCTGCAATCCCCGGTAGCTGTGCACCCCCCTAGTCCATTTCCAGATGCATTCAGCAGACCCTTCTGGGCTTCTGACATGTTGAAAATTGAAGCTGTGATCAACCTGTTCTTTGTTTTAATGTATACATAGACTTTGGCAGAGTTTAAATAGGAGGTGGTAGGTAAGTAGGAAACTTGTGCAGGCCAGATGTCATTCCAGGCCCTTCTCAAGTGCGTAACAAACCCTTTTTTTATTTACATGATACATAGCTTATTTTTAAAGAGCTTTTAGCAACTAGTGGCTGGTTAGTTATTTTCAATTAGCGGTTGCTCTTATTAGTACTTTTACTAGTAATTGTGATTTTGAATTGAAGTATTGGTTTTGTACTTAGACCTACAGATAATTATGAAGTCAAATTATAAGGGGCTTTTTTTCCTAATTGCAGTTGTTGGGAGAAGGAGACTCAGTGATGAGCTGTATAAATCAAAGATTAGTCAGATGTCTTTCAAGTACATATCCTTGCAATTTGGGCCATGCTGTTTAGGATTGTATGGGCTGCTTAAGCATGTGTGAGGAGGAGAACCCTGACTCCACTGGAGTAGTGGAGCTTTCACCCATGTCAGTGGATCCAGAATTTAATTCCATTCACAGCTTCACTCTCTCTCTGTATTCTCAATTGACAGTTATAAAGAGTTGCCCCAGTGCCCAGTAGCTAAAAGCATCTTTCCCACCACCATGCAGCTCTATGCTATTCTTCTCTTTCTTTCATGTTTCTTAAACATAATGCTGCTTCACTTGAGGCTTTGCAGCAGATAAATTCTGTATCTGCAGAAGAGATCCTCAAAATCTGTTGAGGATCTGACCGGCATTGGCACATGGCACAGGGCAGCAGGATGTACAGCTCCATGTTTTCTGCATAAGTATTTGCGTAACATAGCATGCCAGAAATGGAAGGTGGGGGGAATACTCTCATGGGGGGGAAACAAGAAGTAAATCCACAGCAGTTTGAAATACATTACTCTTATGATGATCTCCTCATGTTTTCCTAATAAAAGGCCGTGGAACCTCACCCAGCAATTCAGCATTAATGCAAGGTTTTAGGAAGACTATTGCTTTTGTATAGCGATTCGAATCCAACACGTCCCTGAGTGTGGTGTTCGCACAGTTAGTTTTCCTTGCTGCTGAACGTTTCTACTGGCTTTCCTTTGCATTTATCTCTTCAGTAGCATGAATGGAGACTATTATGGTTTTTTCCAATAGATTAGAAAGCCATCTACTCTCCCATTTCTGTATTCATAGACCATAATTCTCTGTTAAACTTCTCACATATTAACCTAACAATTGGAGTTTCTAAAGGCTCCTATCATCACAAATTATTGGTATCGTTTCTCTCAGTAAAGCCCTTGGTTTTCTGGAGATGTTTTTTTCAGCACATTGTCCCGGTAATGATCTCCCTGAAACCAGAGAGAGGTGTAATAGCACCAACAAATCCTACCAGCCATCCCCCATCTTGTACAGTAAGAATAACTTTTGCCTACACTTTGCTCTGAGAACGCGTGTTGCTTGGGTCTACTATTACTGTTTCTTTCTTTTCAGAGTCACTGCTTTTCACAAAATCATTTTCCATCTTGGACATGAGACCAATTTTCTTTGTTCTTTTAATGAACAACTTTGTCTCTTCTGTGTTAAAATATAGTACAGACCTTACTAAGTGATCTTAGTTGGTCTATATTAATGGCCTGCCCTTCCCATTATTTATCACTCTATAACTTTTTGTAATTTGCAGCTTTTTCCAGCAATAATTTTATATTTTTGTTCAGATCACTCAGTATGGTTTGTGTCCATTTAGTATGAACCACACTGATACGGTACATTGCTGGGGTTTTTACTGAAAATGTTGTAAAGCGGTGAGCCAAAGCCCTGCGGAAATCTTGCAGAAGTTTCCTTTATCAAACTAATTCATAATCTCATAGGAAAGTAGGTGGTGGGGGTTTTTTCCTGACAAAACTCATTTTCTGTGTTGACTGGCATTACTTGTACTATCATCCTTTAATTGTACACTGATTGCTTCCTGTACCAGTCTTTCCATCAGTTTTCCTGACATTGATGTCAAGCAAAATGATCTGCAATTTCCTTATTAAATAACGGAACAATGCTTGCTTATCCTCTGTCTTGGGGAACGCGTGAGGGAATTCAAGACATGTTTTTCTTAGTTTGGTTCTTTTTAATTTTGTCTTACTGAGGTTTAGGGTTAATACCTGTTAAACGGGTATTATTTTACTTCCCGATATTTTGGAATCTTAGTAGTGAACTTATGAATTTCTCCTTCGATAGATCACATGAGGAATGTTTTAGTGGCACAGAGCTGGTTAATCTGTCTAGTACTGTTTGTTACTATCACTATGAAATCTTCATAACCCAGGATATAACATTCACAAAAGTGTATATGCAGTTAATTTCATTGTTTTCTATCTTACCATAATGAGTAAAACTGCTGTTTAGTCATTGCCCTGGAAACACTGTGAAGCATCTGCTGTACACTGTCTAAGGTGCCCATAAAATTTGTATCACAATGCAGTCCTGCCACAAATAGATAAAAGTAATAAATTTGGCTAGTGCCAAAGTTTTAAAGCATTTTATGAATCTAAAATTGTACTCTCTCACTGACATTATTTACTTAGAGTAATAGAAGACTTGATCTTGTCCAGACCCCAAAGTAATTAAACTGTTGAACATTTCCTCTTGATCTATGTGGAAGACATTTTTGAAAGATGAGGTGTTCCTTTGACCCAGCTTGCACTGTACTTAACTGAATAAATTAACTCTTTTTGACCCATTAGGAGGAAACATACTTTAGTAAAACTGTGATCTGATTTACTGATGAGAACAAACACCACTGGTATTCTATAGGCATCACTGGTTCTGGAAAAGTAATTATGAATGAAAATCATTGCTATACTTTCTAAAGACCACAACCTGGAGTCAGGACTTCTTCGTACTGGAAGCTGTACCACAAATATATCTCTTGCTTGGGTGGGTATGTCATCAAATATTCACATATTTTTTTAATTTATGGAAGGGGGGGGGAATGGAGGTTTGTACCCAGTCCGATACAGAGCCTACAAGTAAACACAGCATATATCACTGAAGTATTATGCAGTGGGCATAAAAATTGTTTTCAGGGCATTTTAGGAATGAACAGGCATATTCTGGTAATTAAGTAAAGCGTTAATCTGTGATTGTGAAAGATCAACAAAAAATTAAACAGTAAATAAGGTGAATAGAGAGATTACTTATGTATAACATTGATATTATAACCTAAAGGTATAACCACAAAATCTTCACTGTTTTGAACAAGCAAGGAAAATGTGTAAGAGATTAGTTTGTAACTAAGGCTAACTGCAGCACTGCTAAATGAATATATTGGGCTTGTATGGCATTTTAATTATACTCAAGAACAAAATGTATGAGAACAGTCAGATTGAAAAGGGGTTGTTGTACATGAGTGTGTGTCTATTTCTGGATCCCATTTGATTTTTTTTTTCGGCAGGGTATGGCATACTCAGGATCCTTCCGTTTTCTCCTTCAGTTTTCATGCCTGTCCCTCAAGACATCTGTGGTATAGACATCTGTTCAGCCAAGGGAGTGTGAATGAATGTATTCACAACATAGCATTGCTGATCCCAAATCAGCTGCAAGCTGATGAAGAGGTGTTCCCCACAGTGGCTGTTTGTGCTGCCTCATCTCTTTTTTTTTTTTAAGCTTTGGATGACCTGAGGACCTGGAGCCTTCAAAACCTTTTGATACTAGGCAACTAGTTTCTGTCCGGTAAATAAAAGAAGAAAACTATTAGAGCAAATCAGTGAAATGGGTCTTTAGACTCTCCCATCAAATAGCCTGGGGTCAGCACCGCCCTTGCCTTCATGAAGAAGGGAAGCTGTATTTCTCAGGAAGATAGTGAGTGATCCAAGAGCTACGAGGTCCAAATTCTCATGGCTACATATCTTTTCACACTTGGTGCTCCATTTCTGAAATTGCTACTTACATTTCATCACTGGCAGGTTGCACGCTGTTAGGTTTCCGAGGCAGGGGTTGTCCATGGCCAGGTGTTTCTGCAGCATTTAGCATAGTTGGTACTTCACGTGCTGCTGTAAAACCAATACGAATGGCAAAGTAAAACAATTTTTGTTGGAACCCAAATACCATTTGCATCTCTTAAAAGCTTTTCTATTAATCAGTGTCCCCCCATTAGATCAGTGAGGACAGCAATAGTTGTCACTGGTCCTATATTATGGATGGCTATAACAAAGTGGAAAGATCATGTGATTTGACTTAGGCTGTAGAAAAAGTTTTTGTCAGAGCTAAAAAAATTACGTCAGATGAGTCACTTGCTTTTAGTATTGCGTTTAGTCTTCTAAACCACTGGGGAGCCTATTTGTAATCTATCTGTGCTTTCTATAGCCATGGGGGTTACACAGCTACTTCTGGCAGCTTACACCATGTCCTAGGAGAGACAAAGTTACATTAACGGCGTGTTGCGGGCTGCAGGCGACACTGCCCGAGTCTCAACTGTGGCAGACCTGATTTGCTGTCTTTGCTCCCAAATGGGTAATGTGAGCATCTGGAAACAGGTGACTGCCTGATCTGCTGGCCTGTGGGCTCGTGGTGAAGGAGAAACTCGGCCACTCAGCCCTGAAAACAGGTAGCTGGCTCATCCCTGAGCGGGGCCAAGCCCATAGGGGTACGCTGAGGGAGTTCTGGAGTATAACAGGGCTTTAGTGCCTGAATGGGACACCGGTATGGACGTAGGTGGCTCTGTTCATGTCTTTAAGCAGTCGGTTAGATACCTTGGGATTTAAAATGCCAGCAGTGCCGTATGTAAGTACTCCTGGAAGCCACAGCCAAGCATCAGTGACCAGCTACCTGGGATCTTTCACTTTAAAAATTTAGGCATAAATTTATTTTGGTAGAATATGAAAATGTGAACTGTGGCTTTCATCCTTCAAAAGGAAGAAGTCTCATATCCAATAAAGGAGGCAAGTACCTGCATGTTAGCTGTTGTGGCACCCCACTGTCAAGGCCTTCAGTGCAGATTTTAGACCAGGGGAGAATCAAACCATGTGAGAACAAAGCTGCCAGAAAGAGCTAGGTACACGGGGACAGTGATACGGAAATAAGCACATAATTTTGCTAAACTGTTTCAGTTCGGAACAACAATATTAAGGAGACTCTTGATGAGCCTAAAACTCCTTCCAGCTGCTTGCAAGCTACCGGTGCGCCTGATATTCCTGCTTTCCGGCTGCAAAGTCTGGTCTCTTGTTAGAAACCCGAAGAAAAAACATTTAATTTTTATTTGAGCTTATTGAATTTATTTTAATTTTATTTCTTTCCCAAGTAAAATGGTTATGTGGAAACAGAAGTTCGTGTGGTGTTCTCACGGCTCGAATAATAGTATGAGCACCCTTGAGGAAATGAAATGTGACACAGCATGGGCCAGCCTGCGAGGACAGCTGAGTGCTTGCAGGCTACGGCCTGGCTTCTCAGTTCATCCTGCACTGAACACATACACATCCCCTGCTGTTTTCTTCCTCTCCATACGAGACTGGATGACAGAGGTGCAAAATGGACTGAAAGGCAGGATTTTTGTGTGTGGTACATGGCCCTTATCTGTCCTTTTTTTTCCCTCTGTTAGTGATCTAGAAGAGGGACTTTCTGTGTTTTATAAGAATTTTATGCTACCTAGAGCACATGGTAAACACTGCCAGTACAGTGATATTAACAGATAAAAGCGTACGCAGAAAAGTATTGCAGTGCTGGTCTTCGATACATTTATACAGACTTCAGATTCATTTATACCACGTGATCTGAATTTGCAGTGAATGCATTTTGATTCTAACTGCCAAAACCTATTTTATCTTTGACAGCTGACTTTATGGGTTTTGTGAGGAAAAACCACTGCTGATTAAATTTGTATTGACAGGATTGGATTCTGTATTTACAGGAAAACAGCTACCGCAAGCCCCCCTGAATCACGTCTTCCTCTGTTCTTACTTTAAGGTCCTGAAAGGCCAGGATAAATCAGGAAACATTTGCCACTGTATGTTCTTTCAGTGTAAAGGAAACCCAACATGTTATTGATAACTGACCAGAATAGTTCTTTTGATAGATTTACGTCTTCTATCAATCTGCTGTTTAAGTGTCTTTCAGACGTGGACTGATTTATCCTTCCAGCATTTCTGTCGTAGGCAAAATCTTTTTGTTAGTTTATAGGAGATAAATCACAGCTGTTCCCTTTAGTTACTTAGTGGCTGGCTCTTAATTTCTTGATCTCTGTCTGTGTGCGAAAAAATATATGACCTTGTTTTGCTACTTAAACGTAGTTTGGGGAGATAAGAGAATAGAGAGTTGTATGGAAGGAAAACTAGCCAAAGGGAAAAAAACCCAAATCAGTCTTCTTGACGGTTTTGAATTTTTAGTGAGGTTGAAAGATGTTCATTTTATATGGACTAATATTCAGTTTAACTGATAGGAAAAACAAATTTTGCCATTGCTCTAATCTTGTAATTCTATTGCTTGCTATAGTATGAATTATTTAGAATGGAAAATGTATAACAAAAAGGATATTAAATATATATATATAAACAAAAGGTACAGGAATTGGAATTCTATAACACTTATAGTTACTAATAAGGGAAGACAACAAAGAAATACAAGTTGTTCTTAAACTAGTCAGTAAAGTTGAAAGTGAATGCTGCAAGTTCTCCCAAGTGCCTTCCAGCCATAAAAACTTGTAGAATGTAGATTTTAACACAGATACAACCCCGCTGAGCATTGAGCTGAGACATGCATAGTACTATTGTTTTCATTTGCTAACAGTCCTTACTTGCTGCAGTGGTCCCTGAAGGTGCAGGCTGTTTTTCATTCAGAGTGGCTCAAAGCATGAGGACAGTTCGGTCACTTTACATCTCAGTGGGAAAGCTTCAGATAGAAACAACCTCCCTCATTCAAAAATAGAGCTTCTTTCTTTTTTCTTTTTTTTTTCCTGCCCAAGATTCTTGCTGTTTCTGAAGAGCTATGCTCATGAATAGTAATATAAAATAATTTCTGAAGCTCTTACTACAAGTTAATAAAAAAAAAGAGGAAAACGTCTTTCGGTTTGTGTGTTTATCTGTGTCTTTGAATATCTTCAGTTCCTTTAACTCCAGGATCCTTCAAATCCACTAGCCAGCATCAGGCAAATCCGGTGGAAAGATAAAGATAACATCTCAAAAAAATAAGAGCCCCGTTGAAAAGAGACGCGGTGTTATCGCCCTCATCGAGAGTCAGGGTGTCACTGGACGTCTCAGGAGAGGACAGTACCCAGGCAGCAGAGAGCTTTACAGCCTGCCGGCGCTGAGCTTCAGCTGGAGCTCTGTACCGTCCCAGGCAGGTGTTAGACAGTGAGGTCTCTCCTGCGCGGGTTCTTCGCTGTCTGCAGCGTTAGTATAATTCAATTAAAAGTCTGTCAGTCACAAACTGCAAATAGAAAAAACGCAGCTGGATTTATTCTGATGCTCCCAGAACAAATGGCTCTCCTGCTTCAGGCTGGAATCTACCTGCTCTCTTGCTTCTTTCCTTCTGCTGAGGTTGACCTTAAATATTTCTTACCCACTACTTCAAAAAACAGCATGGAGGTAGCCTAACTTTCATTTGCCCTCCTATTTATAGTTTCTTTTTGGAAGGGATGAGAGAAATGTCCCTCTGCATATTGCACATCACCCTATAAATACCCTTCCAGCTTCCAGGTCAAGAGTAAAGTTTTTTTCTGGTATCTCTAGCGTTCTCACCACATTTCACCATATTCTTTCTCATTTGTGCTCTTACCATCACCGGTGCTTGAAAATACCTTTTGCACTCTAGTGCAAAAGCACAATGTCCTTTCCTGTTCAAATCTCCCTCAGAAAACTCTTCTTTCGCAGCTTTTAGAAACACAAGTTAATAGCAATGGAGAGCCATCATTATCTGAGCATGCACACTGGTGGTTCTGGTCTACTGCTGTCCTTTTGATCTCCCTTTGCTGTACGCTGCTCACAGATCTGTGCTGCTTCGTAAAGGTCCTCGGGACAGGGACGAGGCCTTTGTGTTTTGTGCATAGTGTTGTTTCTGTTCTCTGGCTGAATGTCTTGACCTTTAAAAGGCAACTCTGAGCCCATCAAAATGTGTTTTATTTAATCAAGAATCTAATTCAGAGATAGCAAATCTCTGTTACAGGCCTGAAATTCTCTCTGCGTACTGCTCATGCCAACCCAACTTTGCCCGCACCAACGTTCATGAAGCTCAAATAAAAAGAGCTGTAAACACAGAGGAAAAGGCCTTCAAAAGGATGAGAAAAGCTTTTCTTAGTATTTACTTTCTTTCTTTCTTTCTTGTTGACAAAATGGGCAATTTGGGTTGAGGTTAATCTTTTTTTATTCCAAAAAATGAGAAAAATATAACTGATATTTTATTCCTCAGCAGAGCAGATTAGTCAGCGAGCTAAGAACAACACAACAAAATGAAACAATTTAAAGAAAGCCATTAAAGGTAAAAACATTTGTGTAATCAACAACAATGTTCCTGTCAGTACAGGACATTACAAGAAAGCGGGTTGTGCGGCAGGCCTTGTTGATTTTCACTCACTACAGAGCAGAATAGAAACTTTCTACATAAATCCTTGGGTGCTAGTGCAGGAAGGTGTCTGTGTAATCTGAGCTGTCTGACCCTGGCAAAGTAGCAGACTGTAAGCTCACTGCCTAAAGAAATTGTAAAAAAAAATCAGTGCTGGGAGGAGAGCTTGCTGTTTTATTAATGTTTATCAGATTAAAGACGTGAAATAACTGAAGCAATATGAGCAGTGCATAAAAGCAGGGGACTGAAAGGAAAAAATGCTTTTGAAGTGTGCCATGGCCTCTCTCAGAGAGCCTCTCATCGATCTCCCTTCCAATTCATCCTGTCAAACAGCTGGCATGGTGTGTGCTCCGCAGGCAGACGAGCAGCATCAGGCATACAGCTGTGCTATCTGGAGCACAGATGCTTTCACTTGCGCTCGGTAGTTCCTAGCCAGCTTCCAGAGTTTTGGCAGAATCATTCACGGATGTTTGACGCACAGAGATGAGACAGAAATTCATTG